GCGTTTCTTGCAGCAATAGAGACCAAATTCATCTCAGAACCAATCACGTGTTTTACAATTCGTTGTTTTCACTCAATGTGTTGCAGTCAGTAATGGTTAGCGGACTATTGCATTTCTGGCTCTCTAAGCTTCTTGTTAAAGCATTGCCGTAATTTTCCACATTAGATTCAGGTTCTAAGATTTGTTCGTTAGTCTTCCTATAGTGCCTGATTTCCTAACGTGCTGCTGAGTTATCACAGCGTCAGTTGGAGTACGGGGGACTCGCGTGTGGACAGTGGCATGACTAAAACTAGAGTTCATAAAGTTATTTTATTATGAATCCATGAAGGATTCTGTAGTTTGGTGGGTAATTTTGATGTTTGGGGAGCTCTGTGTGACACGCTAAGTACACTCTTGCTTATTCAAATGTGATAGAAGTGAACGGACAGGAATAGAAATGCAGAGGATGCTCAGGCCATGTCTGTCACCCACATCTCAGTGTCGATAGCGTGGAAATGGTAACGGAGGAGCTGCCAGTTGGTAACTCCTGCCTGAAAACGGGCTCACCGTTTAGTTATTCAAGGTGAAAGGCTGCGCAACTGAAATCCCTGTGAAACTTGTCCATATAGATAGAATATTGTATGGTGCATGTTTCCCGCTTTCGGTGGGGCAGCTTTTAAAGGAGGCTTTGCAGCTTGCAGGATATTTTTTGTTGTTGCTCTTAACACTGTGCCCCAGGCTCCACTAAATAGACAACCTCATTAAACGAGAAATAGCGAGAGTAAAGCAGTGACTTTCTCGTGCCATCTAACTCACATATTTGACATGATTGCTGGACCCTCCAAGTACTTAATTGATTGACTTAATTGATTTAGTGGCACTGGAGGCTACAGCATGGAAATAAAGGGGCAAGATGAGGATAAGGGGTGAAAAAATTTATGATAGGTGCCAAGCAGCCTCAGGGAAATTAGAAATGCTACAGATCTCAGAGGCAGCTAAATCAATTCAATGTGATGCACGGGGAGCAAGCGGGGGGAAGAGGAGAAGCGGGGGGATAGAATGGAGGAAAGGAGAGAAAATAATGGCTACTGGGAGAGACCAGAGCAAACTTAAGGGGAAGAGGGAAGACGGCAGCCGTGGTGGAGGGTGGGTATTTTGGACCTCTTTAAGTTTAACACCAGGAAAAAACTTTCTAATGTATAAATAAAATATAATCATGACATCATGTTTAAAAAGAAGGACTCATGCATCATGGGAACAGCTTATTTATCTGATTTGAGACTTTATCTGTGCTTCCATTTAAAATCCTCGACATTTGCAACAGTGACTGAAATCACAGGAGACCTAAAATAATTTGGAGGCTATGTACAGTGGATTTTTTTAACAACTGAAGCTTAAATGTTAAATTACTTTCTAATCTGTGCAATATTTAATTGACTGTATTGAACCATAATACAAATTAAGTCTTCTCTATAATTTGTTCTGTCGTGCTGCAGCCCTCCAAAACAATTTGATACCTCACTTATGAATTGGTAAATGGCTCGTAGCAGCACTCGGCAAAGATACAGTAAAAACATCAAAGAAGGTGTGATGGAATCCATCAGCATGGGCATACAGGGCTGTCATAAACATCCCTGAGTTATGAAATACTTCTTTTATGTGCTTCTGACGCACTAGAGATGGGATTAAGTCATGGTAAAACTGAGTATATTGAGAGGAAAAAAACAACCAAAGAAGAAGAGGGTGGGGAGAGAGAGGGGCAGATCAGCTCATGAATATTAACTGTTGAGCACTGACCAGCAGTTCTGCTGTGAGCAATTTTAGAATCATAGAACCATAGAATGGTTTAGGTTGGAAAGGACCTTGAAGATCATCGAGTTCCAACCCCCCTGCCATGGGCAGGGACACCTCCCACCAGACCAGGTTGCCCAAGGCCAC